GGCAGGAATGAACGATAAAAGCTGCTAACAGATGTAGTAATCATGTATAAAGGTGCTTTTGCAATGGACCATAAATAAAAAATTCAGTCTAGGTGGCCAGAATTTCAGAGATGCTGAGGGTATCCAAATTTCACAGACTCAACACAGCTGCAGCAAAATGAGCCCATCAGCTTCTTCATCTTCACTGAAAGGCATCTCCTGCTTTTAATCACCAAAGTCCTGTGTAAGACTAACACACTGATGTGTAACATCTTAAAGCAGCCAATACAGACCATTTCCAGTGCCAACTGCCTCCTCCTACAAACCTTGTTTCACTTGCAGAAATTGCTGCTTGCAGGAAGTCTTTAGCTACCCAGAATATCTGAATGCCCATTTCTCCTCAGAAAATTGATGGAAAGCAGGTGTCCAAAAGCCTTTCCAGCAAATATATTGACAACTCTGAAATGTGATTTAAGCTGTTGCTGTTGATGCAGTGGTGACTTGGAGTGTGCCAATCCAATGCTCATCCATAATTGGAGACAGTTCTTACCTATTCACCCCTGACACCTCAGGCTTAAGATTACACCTGATTTTGAGCACACCCTGACTAAACAAAACAAACCATGAGCTGATCGCCTTGTGCAACGTGCAACCACACAATAGTAATCACAGCTAATGACTCTGCTAAATGCTAGACTGCACACACCTCCTTGTTTGGTGTTTGTTTTGTATACAGAAGGTAACATCGACTGAATAACGAGGATGCCAAGTTACAGATGGGGTTGTGGAATCGTATTTGACAGCCGATTAGAGTAATCTGACAGAAATGATGACTTAATCACCACGACAGACTCCAAATTCCCAGATAGAATTCCACCCAGGTTAATCTAATTTCCTTGCAATATTTTTGCCAGAAATAGACTCTTAGCCGGCTTGTTTTCTCCCATGCAGATGTCACATGGCTTTGACAAGAATGTAAATAGGTACTGCTATTTTTGTTGAAAAGATGACTTTGAGGCTCTAAAGCTGGAGAGGTGGCATGCCTTTGAGATGCATTGGGCTGCTTTGCTGTGTTTTTTTCCTCTAATGACGTTATGTTTACATACAGCAAGATGTACTCAGGAAAAAGAGGGGGGAAAAAAGATGTAACTATTCAATTGTAATTCTAGGCCTTGGTGTGGTCCTGCTGCTGCCCTGGACATAGCCAGCAGCCAGATTCTCATTAATTTCTGGGGGATTTTCAGGGTTGCATGTTTCACAACTGTTTCTTTGCCTTTTTGATTCCTGTGGACTGCCTCAGCACCCCTGCTTGGGATGCGCCCAAGGAGAGGCTGTGACGTTCATGGCCCCGGGCTTTGGGTGGCCTCTGTGACAGCACAAGCAGCAGTGAAGCTCCCACTTTGCTGCCAGCACTGCCACAAGGCACTGGCAACCTTGGGCAAGAGGCATTTGCCTGCTCTCAGCTGTAAAACAGTGGCGTGGTGTGTTTTGAGACCAATGGACAGAGAGCACCTGTAGAAAGGGCAGGTCATGCCCTGCTTGCTGCACACGTGTGTTCAGTAGAGCCCTCTGTAACATTGATGAGGAGAGGTTACTCCTCACAGCCCACACTCCAACCTGGGTTTGATATCCCCATGCACAGTGCTTGCCAGGGGATGCTGCCCATGCTCAGAAGGAACTTGCCTGAGAGCTGTGTTGTTCTCTTTTACTGTGTATGCTGAGTACAGGATGATGTTCAAGGTAATAAATGACTTGCTGAGGTTATTTTTCTTGTTCTTGCCTCTTTATTAATTGTAAGTGTGCATTCATAAATACTGTATTTTCATAGGCAAAGCTTTGTCCAAGAAAAGGAGGAAATGTTTCCTGTTGTTCTGTGTGACAACATGACATACTGAGAAATCACTTACCTTGAGATCCATAAGTGATGTATAGTTACAATAACAGCTTCCTGATAAGACGGGAAATCCTTCATTTAGTAGATGACATGATTCTAGTGAGTGGCATCTAATTTAAAACAGTTTTATATCATCTGTAATCTTTTGGAGGGCCTGGGAAAGCACAGCTATTTTATTATTTTCTCGCCTGCAGTTATACAAGGGAGATACAAAACGTACAGATTATTTTGTCTTTTGCTCATTGTAGAGTTAAAGGATACTACCTATTTAACTTTCGTCACTGCCCCTTTAATTTTCTTATTCACTACTTCTTAGAGTCATTCTTTTCTTTTCTTTTTTACACCTACCTTTAAATATTTTATGGGTAGAGAGCTTATAATATGTATTGTCACGGCAGTTGTCTCTAGAGGTCAGCAATGAGTTTAATAATGAGATGCGAACCAGTGACTCTGTAAAACCCATTTCAGGTTATAAATGGCATGTTTTATTGAATCTAGTGTTAAAGGTTGTTAACGTATCAATTGGTGATGGTCAGGGTTAAACAAGCTTCAACATGAGCCCTCTCATGTTAGGAAACTGTCAGTAAGGTATTTTTCCACTTTCCTCTTCGCTGAAGCCAGGTTTGTGTATCACATCCATTTTTCTGGGGGTGTTATGCAGTTTAGACTCTCCAGGGCTGAGCTGCATTTTTTCTTGGTTTTGCACTGATATAATTTTAAGCACAATGCATCATTCCCAAATTCAGCCTGATGGTGTGAAGAGGACCATGAGTTTTTAGCAGGAGCTTTTGAAATCAAGTCAAAACCTATTTGAAGCATCATGTTAAGTCTTACCTCTTGGTTCATGAATGTACCAGATTACTGAGTTAATGAACTTGGGTAATGGTGTGTGACTGAAGAGGATGACTTTGCATATGCAGTAAATGTGCTTGTCAGGTAACACTGACCTTTGTGTTGTGACCATGGGCTGCAAAAATAACTTCTTCACGTGAATTTGGTCTAAAGTTGGCTTCTCTGGTTTGGGCAGTTTGAAAAGTGAGAGGTTTTTAATGCTGTTAGAATAGCCTTTATTCAAAATACCTCCTCTTAGGGGCACATAAACGCATCTGTAAAGAGCAATTGATTGATTCTCTGTCTACAAAATGTCTGAAATTGAACTGCATTTTTCTCTTATATCCTGCATATTCCTGACTTTTCAATACTTGCCTTTCTGTCCTCTATTTTGTCACCACTCCATTGCTCCTCAGAGACCTCAATAACCTGCAATGGCCTTGTGGAGCAAGTTAAACCTTTTTTCTTCTTTCTTTTTTTGCTTGCTGAGTGGACACGCTGCCTCACATTCCCACAAATTTTAAGTCTCCTGCAGTGCCCAGTGTATTGTTGATGTCAGGAAAAATCTTAAGCCCTAAAGAAAACAGAGAATGATAGAAGTTCCCTGTTTTCTATAAAACTGATCTAATAAGAGTGGTAGCAGAAAAGTGCTGGGCTATTAAAGTCCATTGAGGAAACAAATGATTTAAAGAGAGCAGAATTGTTAAAACTGAAGAAAATTTATGCATCCTGACAACTACATCTACCTTGTGGCTTTGCCTTTCCCTAGGACACACTGGGGAGTTGTGCAAGCACAGCTCAGGGAATACACTGATTTGCAAGGCCAGGGAGCATTCTGGACTTTGACTAAATCCAACAGAAACATTCACAGCAATATTTTATGTTTTATGAAGAATCCAGCAACTTTTTCCCTGGTGGTTAAGTTACTTCACCAAAAGCAATGTGGATATGGGTTTCTGTGCAGCTTTGAAAGCATATTTGATACAAGGGCATGGATGTTCTCTCCTGCTCAGCTGTTTTTGTTTCCCAGAGTTTGTCATAACAATCTTTTATTAGGAAAATGGAATTGCCTCTGACATATTCAGGCAATACGCAGCTGCGCTGCACTGAAAAATGATAGAAAAGTAGAAACAGCATACATCTTTTTCACCTGTTAATGTGAATTGGTAAGGAATTGCTGAGGAGAGAAAAGGCAGTGACCCTGCTGCTGCCAGAAGGTTTGTGCAGTCAAATCCCAGTAACTATGCAGAGTCCAAGAAATAAAATAAAAATGGGGGGGGGGGGGGGTTTGCAAGCTTAAACATCTCCCACATTGAATCTCAGTGTGAGGTCAATTCTGGAGGCTTTTGAGAATCTGTAATAAAATTTCCCTGAACGTACCACAGTGGCCTCAGGGCTGGCTATCACCAGCGTCCTGCAGAAAACTCTGAACATGAGGGAGCTCAACTGCTGTGTTGTTATTATTCCTGAAAGAACAAAAACACCATTTGTAGAAATTTTATTGGAGCTGTCAACAATTCAGTGTGGTAGCAGTATCATTTAGTAGAGAAAGCTGAGGACACAGCAGCCTGAGTTGCCAAGGTGGGATGTTCAGCACAAAACGCTGCAGACAGGGTTGGTTTCCTTTGCATTAAGAGGGACATGAATGGAGGAAGAGGTTGAAAAGGAAAAAGGATTTGGAGTTTTTATGGAAGCCACAATTGTTGTGTGTTGTGGTGGAAGCTTTATGAATGAATGTGTAATGGATACTAAAACAAAAATATGAGATACTAAACAATTATAGGAAGCTATTTTAGGAATCAAGATCTCTTCTTCTTCAGTCCTAAAAGAATGAGCACAGTTTTTTTAATTACAAGCAAAATTCATTTGTCAAACTCAACTCCTCTGAGTGCATTTGAAATGCTTGCTAGTTCTTAAATTACTTGAAAATTACATCTTGGTTTTGGCAGTGGTTGAGCTAAAGGAAAAAAAAAAGTTGGTAAAACAGAAACCAAGCATGCCATAAACTAATGAGGGCTGAAACTTTAGAGGTCTTCTGAAACTAGATACAGCAAATTAAAGATTTATATGAGTCCTATGGGCCCAATGATCTTTTTTTTAAACTTCCTCATTATAAAATACTCCTTTACCATTTTATTTTTCTTATAAGACTATAATACAGTGTTATTCTGAATTTATATAATTTCAACATGTTTAATATTAAGTCGTGTCTCTTTTTAGCCCTTCATTAAAAACATCACTCTTGATTTTCTATGACTATCCAACCTGCCTTACTCTCTTTCATTTTTGTTTTTAGATGCATCATCCTATTCAGATGAAACCTGCAGATAGTGAAAAGTCAAATGGTATGTGTTTAATTTATTTTTACTTAATTGTGTCTTTCTCTAAACTAAAATAAGCACAACATTGTGAGAGATTTTGCTTTACTCCTTTTGTGGTGAAAATAATGGGCAGTTTCCCTACACCTGACATGCTGGGAAGGTGTTGAGCTGCTCTGAACTCCTTTTTTATCTTCTGCTTTAAAGAAGGAAGGAAATGTCCTCAAAAAAGGGTCTTCCTTGTACCTGCTGTATGTCATGACCTGCCTCACTGCATAGCATACATCCTTCCCTTGGGTTCTCCTAACAGTGAGGTATTGTGGGAGCACCTGAAATTGATAAGATGGAGATAAAATGTTGATGCTGAAAATTTAAAATAAAAGAAACAAAAAGGCATACCTGTGTTAACAAATTATGTAAGTACATGATCGGCCTTAAACATTTGCCAAAAGTACCTTTTTACAGAATGATGCCATTCTGAATCTGAGCCAAATTTAGATTTTAATCATATGCTTCATTATGAGCTGGGAAGCCCATTTTGGAGCTCTCTGTATACTTATTCCTCAAAACGATTGAAAAATGAATGCTATAAAGACAGTAATATCCATTTGGAATACTAGGGTACTGCCTAAGTGGATGTATATGACATGCAAAATAGATGGCAAGGTAAATCTATTAAACATGCCAGGTTTATATATTCAGGGAAATAAGATAATCGAATGGTAGTGCAACTTGGCAGCGTGTGATTCTTTAAAAATATATACGTGTATATTTTGCCCCTTGATTTGTTCCTGTAATTTTCTAAAATATATGTTAAAGATATCATCTGCCTTCTTAGATTGCAAGAGCTTCATTTTCCCTTAAGGCCCACATAATCAGAGCTGGTTCCTCCAACAGGCATCTTTGCACCTCATTAATTAGTAATCAGGGCAGAAGCCGTGCACTTAGAGATCTACATACCTGCAAATGTAAATTATGATTGGGCTCTAAATCTCTCCGCAAGGCTTTTTTAAGGCTTCTTTTTTGCTAATTGTAGTGCATCCCTTTTTCAGGCTTCTCCAAGGATTATGAAGTTTGGAAGGAAATTAAAACTTCACATTATGCTAGGTTTCCCATTATGACAACTTTCCAAACAAAAGTGGCCGTGAGCACAGGAAATATGAGCTGTCACCCATTTGTACAGGAGGGAGTGTCCTCTCAGGTTGAAATCATAGAATCATTGAATATTCTGAGTTGGAAAGGATAGATATCCATCCATGAGGATTCTCAAAGTCTTAATTCCTGGCCCCATGCAGGACAATCCCAAAAATCTCACAATATGCTTAAGAGCATTGTTGAAATGCTCCTTGACCTCTGTCAGTCTGGTGCTGTGACCACTGCTCTGGGGAGCCTGTTCCAGTGCCCAGCCACCCTCTGGGTGAAGAACATTTTCCCAATGACTTTTAGCAGTGATTTCTTGCTGTCTTTGAGTGCTCAGAATAGAGGCCAAGGCACATGGATGGGCAGAAGGACTGAAATTTTCAGGCCCCACTGTGGTCAAGGAAAACATTGCTGTTGGAATCCAGACTCCAGTCCCTAGTATTTACTGCTAGCAGTGGGCACAATTATCCCTTAGGCACAGGAACGCTGGCCTGAACCCTCTGAACTAAGTATGGCCTCCATGGGTTCTTCTTTCAAAGATAAATTTCACCTCAATTTCCTTGGCAAATTAGAAAAATAAGAGGCAATGGGCCAAAATTGACTCCCAGTGAGTTACTTGTTCACTGCCTGAAGTGTTTCTTTCTAAAGGAGATTGAACATATTGGAAAAACACTGTGGGGAATTGTGCAAATTCTGTCCTTCTCTGCAAGTAGTCCTGCTTGGAAGGCAGGGTAGGCTGGCTCCTGGCTGCTGCTGTTAGTCTAGGGTTATCTGCATGAAACTCCTGTCTGCACTGTGGGAATACTCTCTTATTTTCTGGCATCTATTCCAAGCATAAAAATCACAAGGAATTGGGCTTTTTCACCTTTGTTTTTTTTTCTTTCCTTTCTTTGTATTTTTGGGGAAAAAACAAGTTGTCAGTTCAGGGTTCCAACTGTCAAATTAAACACCTTTTTAAATTTAGATTCCTGAAGGGTGTGGGAACTTATGATAGGCATGTTCAAGGGGTGGTGAACTATTTTTTTTTTAAATCAACTGGAGAAACAGAAGGCAAACTAATACCACGATGATGGTAATAATGGTACAGCTCCTCAGAAAGGCAGGGTGTAGGCATGGGGTTCATGGAGTGGGTGACAGTTTGCCAGAACTTGGAGATCAAGAAAGAGAAAAAGCAACAGCGTGGGGGATGTGGAGGTTTGTTTGGCACATGTTTCCCATATGCTCCAGGCTATCCATCTGAGGAGCTATATTATCCATGCCAACAGCAAACTGTAAACTGTACCTCTTCAACCAGATTGGTAAGTTCAAAGGGGAAAAGAAAAAAGACATGCCAAGGCATCCTGGTTTTCATGATCCGTGGTGGTTGAGCTTTTGAGGAATAATCGAGTCTCTTTGATTTCTGAGTCATGGGAGGATCCATGGATTTTATGAGTAAAGTGGTGTTTCTCAGTTTGAAAAGAGGCTAAAGCAATTTCTTGGTCAAAAATTTCTTGTAGGAAGATGTGTAGGACAAGTTGAACATTCTACAATTCTTCTGGGCTTGTGCATGTTTGTGAAGGATTGATAGACCTGTTCAAGTTCCATAGGGAGGAAGGACAGGTCCTCTCACTCAATTTACAGAGGTTTTCAAAGAACACTATTTGCTGTGTGATTAAATAGCCCCCTCCCCAAAGTGTGTCCCTTGTGAAAAACTTTGAATGAGCACCAAGCCAGAGACTCCCAGGATGAAATGCTCCTCCTTTTCCATCACTGTTCCTGCCCTTAGATGTCTGTGTCACCTGAAGAATCTGTCCCTCGACACCAGAGACCAAGCTCACCTCATGGAAACTGGGAGATAGGTATGGAAGGGACACCTCCACCACACCTGGACCAGGCTGCTCAGAGCCCCATCCAACCTGGCCATGAACACTTCCAGGGCTGGGGCATCCACAGCTCCTCTGGGCAACCTGCTCCCATGGTTCATTCCCTGACTACAGTCTGTCTAAGTCATTGCTCATGCAGATGAAGCAAATCTTGATCTCTTCCACCGAGCTTTTAGGACCTAGAGTTGATGGGGCAAGACTTGCCCTCAGATTTAATTAATTTGACTACCCAGGGGGATTCTGAAAAGCTTCTTACTGTTGAAAAATATACCATCTCTTGAAGATCTGCAGGTGATGAATTTTGTAGTGTATCCTGGTCTGATCACCTTTATGCAGGTGGTTTTAACCTGTCTAGAAAGTTTTGGTTGAGGATTTTCTGCCAAAAAAAGCATGTTTTCAACTTTGAAGGCTCCACCATTACTAGATTCATCACTCACAGTATTTATCCTTCTAAGGACATTTTCCCTTTTTCAAACAAAGGGGGTTCCTCCAGTCTAATGCTGAAAAACTTGCAAACACCTGCTTGACTCTAAGTTGTCTGTGGCCATTAACATTCTACAACTTGCAAATGCTTCAATGTCTTAGATCTGGATTTGAACACAGTCAATACTTTCAGGCACATATCCTGAAGACAGCTCTTAAATGGATCAAAGCATCACTGCTTCAGGGAAAATGACAAAATTCTCTATTTAAGAAAATAAAGTAGGGAAGCTGAGTAATCTTATAATTTATTTTTATTTATTTTTTTAGTGGAAAAATTTTAAAATAATTTTTAAATTCTAAGTGGCACAACTTTGCCGAATTGGAGGTAGTAATTAGATGCCATATGTTAGCACTAACACATAGAAAAGTTGATAATTAATGCAGGCAGCTCCGGATTCAGGTGTGACTTTGACAGATTGTAGCAAGGGGTTTTCACAGGCTTACAAGTGATTTCACCTTTTCCCTTCTATATGGGAAGAGAAAAACCAAAACCAAACAAATAAAAAAAAACAACCAATCCTCCACACCATTTATACATAATTAACTGTTTATTAACTGTTTATCTAGTTGCTCAAGAGAGAAGGCGTCTTCTGGGGAGAAAATTCACTCTTTATCTGACTGAACTACTCAGAAATGTACAACAAAGGGTTATAATTTTGATATTTCAAAATTTTGGGGGTTTAGAAGAGTGAAAATAAAAGTTATGTTGAATCTTCAGGGAGATTTCCCACAATTATTACAGGGTTTAATTCTTTTGTAGCATTCAGAAAATAATCTCTACTCCTTTATCCTCCTGGGTTAGCACAAGCAATCTAATACAGCCTGCAAGAAATGCTCATTACTGAAGCAAATTGAGTAAAGCTAAAAAATTAGACCCTTCAGGATGTTATTCTGCAAGCTGGATGTGGTGCTGTCAGAAGACAGGAGGCTCAGTTTGAAAAGTTCCCCTCCCAGCAGAGACAGATTTCATCTCAGATAACCTTTGATGGCTAAGGCAGAGTTCTGGGCTCAAACACGATGCCCAGGCATGTGTGCTAGTGATGGCAGTGCTAGACCTTGACGGGGTTAAAAGAGCAACTCTGCTCATTTTGAAACAGGTGTCTGTACCTCTTTGTGCAGTGTAACTGCATTCTGGCAAACCCCACCCCAAATGCAGCAGGCTTAGCACTGGATGTGTCACTTGATCTGCCCTGGCAGCACAGCCAACCTGCATTTGTAATGTGTTGGGATGGATTAAAGGTGAACCCCATAATGTGTTAATCAAGAAACTGTGCAGTTTCACACTTTCCTTCCTATAAACAGAACTTCAGGCCTTGTTTACTGTGATCTTCTGGCTGCTTCTGCTCCATCAAGGAGGGGCACTCAGCCACCCCATTCTACCTGCTGGTTCCAAACAGTTGTATCTCCTTCATTCCCCCAGAGTGGTGTAAAATAGTCAGAAAGTTCGACTAAGCCCATAAGCAAGGTTCAGAAATAATGATGTCAAACACATGCTAAAAAAATTTTCTGGATTTTGAATTGTTGAAACCTACCCCAAGGGTGGGAGAGAGATTTATCAAGCAGCAGTGAAATGCTTTTGAGATATGTGTACGTGTGCTGGCCCTTGCACACTGTTATCCTTCCCCCAGCCTTTTTCTTTGCCTGCTCTCATTGCCCAAAGCACTGGCAGCTCCCAAGCTTTGTCCAGCCCCTCAGAGCTCATTCATTCCTGATGTCCCTGCAGCTGGAGCTCAGGACATCTAAATGTTTTCATGATGCCCAAGATCTGGGATTTGGCTGGAAGGTAACAGCATCTGTCAATCTACTCAGTCAGTGTAAAAAAATCTGTAATCTGCTCTCATTAGCAGGGGAAGGACTCCCATTTCTCCCTTGGAAAGAGAGAAGAAAGGGAGAAAATGTCTTGTCATGCACCTTCCCACCTTGCTGGGAGAAGTGAGACGTCTCACTCTTTGAAGGAGCTGATCTCTTGGCATTGCCAACAACCAGTTGAACTGAGACCAAACCTGTAGGTCACTGAAGCTAGGCCAGATGGGTTTAGGCTGCCATCCTTTCCCTAAGCAGAAGCACCTGTCTCAGCCTCAGTGCTTTGCTGGGTCATGTGTGTTTAATCCTCATTTTTCAGTCCGTGGGAGATATCCAACACACACAGGAAAATCCACTGGCTTGGCAGATCCAGAGGGAAGTTTGCTCACCTCTAAAAACATTTCACCCACACTTCTTGCACCCTGTTGTCTGATTCTCAAACCTTGCCTGTGTGGCTGGTAAGAATTCATTTCAGAAAGAAAGAAATGGCTGACCAAAAATGCAGAAATAACTCCTGAAAATCAGTCTTATCGAGGTGGAAAAGTATTCCTTTCTCTGTGTGGGAAAAACTCTTTCAGCCTAATAATATCAGATGTTCTTTCAGATGGAGTGAAAACATGTCATTTTGATCTTGACAATTGTCACTTTAAATGTTTTTTATGCTGGGCCTCCAGCCAGAAAAAGAATAGCAATTTTCTTAAGCTTCAACACTGATCAGGACTGACTAATGGCACTGAATGCAGAGCGCGTCATCATATCAATATGTTTTCTGTACTCTGAGCATTCTTCATGAAATCTGCATTTTTAAGATGTACAGTACACAGGAGCTGGATGTTTAATTTACTATAAAATCACCCTCAAGCTGCAAACCTGCAAATCATGTTAGTTAAATGGCATATTTATAGTTTTACTACCAAAACCGAAGGAGGCCGATGGGGAGTTTGTCGCCTGCTACTCTTTGGAAAATTAAAACAAAGCCTTCTGTTCACATCTCATTTCTTTTGAGCCTCTACGTGAATCTCTTTGGTTTGAGGCTTTGTCCTGGCACCGAAGCAGGACCCGAGGGACCTCCTTTGGTATGCTGTGGCAGGCATTTGTCCAACTTAGCCAGCAGCTATTTTTAAAAGGGAGTTGGAGCCTAGCCACCCTTAAAGTGGACCTTCACACTGTATTTCAAGCCTAAGATCAAATTTAAACTGGTTGGTACTAGCTGACACAGAGACACAAAATTAGAGGTTCATAACACAGAGCAGAAGGCAATGCTTGGAAGTGTGCTTGGCACCAAGGCTTCACCCAGCCTGACCTCAGTCTGTGGTGTGGAGAATCCAGGCCTGGCAGCCCAACTGGGTCCCTTGTCTCAAAACCTTTCCTGCACTATGGCCATAGTCTGTGGCTGGTTTTGAGGGGACAGGCTGGCCAGGGAACTTCCTCAAAGTTTGCTTTGAGATTGCTCAAGGAAATGTAGGAATTGTCTGCAGCCAGGTTACAGGCATCCTTCCACCAGCAGAAGTGGCTGCCTGTACTCCTCTTGTAGCTGTGAGCAAGGCAATTCAGCTTTCCCACCCTTAAAATAATATTTAGCAGCATCAAGGTCAGCTATATATTATGAATCATATGTAAAGCTTCATAATAAGACATATATATATATATCCCCACTTGCAGGTCTTATTTGCAATCACGCATATTCAGCTCCTGATCTGTATATAACTGGCTCATCCCATGCATTCATCATTTCTTAACCCTTTCTGGAGGTTCACCTGCGTGTGGAACCTCAATATAAAGTGTGAATGAAAATGTTCAGTCTTGAGGAATCTCTGCTGAAGAAAACATCTTCCCCTGGGTGTTAAATTCACACCAATTTTCTTGCAAGCTTGTAGAGTGAGAAGCTGGGTCTGCAGGGGCTGGTCTCTGTTTTGGGTTCTGAAAAATGCATGGATTTGGTGCTTACTTATATAAAAGCTACAAATAGTTTTTAAAGTCAGCGATTTAAGGAGAAAATTACTTCAAACACGTCTCATAATCAATAAACATGAACCTCTTCCTGTTATTCTTGAAATTATTAAATGCACTGAAAATGTTGAAGTATAACAGAAATAAAATCCTAGAAAAATTGGACACAATTCCTTCTTCCTCAGCTGCAATTTTTTCCATATGACAAGCTCATACTAATACAGGAGACAGAGTTAGAAAGCAAGGAAGGATTCTTTTTTTTTTCTTTTTTGTAAGCCTAGAAATGAAAATACTTCATTACAAAAATAATTTGCACAATAATAGAAATAAGTAAGTGCACTGCAGACTCTGGAGTAAAGCTTTCCTTCCCTCTTTGCTTCCCCACAAACCCTGACAGTCTGCTCATTAACAGGGAATTGGATTTACATGCCATTTCCAGAGAAGAAGAAAGCACTGGTGTATGTACTGTATAATAAGCACTTAGATTTTTAGTTTAATATAGATGGGTGGGTGCGTTATCATTTTTAAGTTTTTCCAGAGTGAATTAAGTTTTGATGACCTCTTTCATTTTTGACAAGAGTCCCCAGCTTTAGACCTGCAAATTTGGGTTTGATTAATAGGACTGTGTGCATCCTACTGCAGCAGTCCAGCTTATGCTGGTGACAGTGCAGGCAGGAAATATTTTACCAATAATTCAGGTAAAGCACGTTTTTCATGGTGTTTTTTTGCAAACTCAGCATCATTACGCGCCAAAGGGTGTTCAGGTGATGTCCTGAAATATATCTTGTGTCCTCCTGAAGAGTAAAGGGCTGTGGCACTAAAAAAAAAAAAAAACAGCAGAAAAAATTAATGCATTCTTTTCCAGAGCAGTCATTGCAAATCTGCCTATCCAGTGTCGTGCATTCAGTTGGCTGAAATTGAAAGCTCAGACAGCAGCTGCTCTCAAAACATTTCTCAGGAATATTTTTCATTAGTTTGTATCATTACGTGCACAATCCCTTCTTCACCCTCACCCCATCATGATTTCTTTCACACATGAGGGGGATGAAGGAATTTATCTGAATTAGAATCTATGCAAAGATATCTTTAAAAGTGTCTCTAACAGAGGATATTTTCGTTTTAGAAGCCGTGAAGGGGAGGTGTATGCAAAGTGACTAAGACAGCCAATTAATATGTTATATAAACAGCAAGCACCACTAAAAAAAAAAAAGGAGAGAGAGAGAGAGAAAGGAGATATTTAGGGTGGGGAAGGAAGGGGGCAGGGAGGTTGTAAGTATAAAGTGTTTGCCTTAGGACTTGTCTTCAGTTACAGAGCCAGACTCACATGACTGGAGCTTGGTTTGATGTGGTAATGAAGCATTGATCACAGCAAAAAGATGAAATGGCCTTTGCTCATTCATTATTTTTATCTTCTAGCTGTGGAAGACAGAAAATTGTTCATAGGAATGGTTTCGAAGAAGTGTAATGAGAATGATATCAGGGTGATGTTTTCTCCGTTCGGCCAGATAGAAGAATGCCGAATCCTTCGGGGACCAGATGGGCTGAGCCGAGGTGAGTGTGCAGCCTGTAAAGTCTCTTTCCTTAAGTGCTAATTGGGAGCTTTATGTCACAGCCAAGGTAGGCAGAGCTACTGTCTGCAGCGAGAGGTTACTCTGTAATATGTCCCACGTGATGAAGGTATCCACATGAACTTTTCACAGCGACTGAAATTATCACCTTTTATTTCCAGTGTCAGAAAGGTCTCGGTGCCAACATATTAACTTGTGTTATCACCCTGTTTGTCAGCTGGAAAGGTTCCTTTGCACCCTGAGAAAACACCCTCAGTTTTCTGCTCTCACAAAATCAAAGTTGCTCCCCTGACCCCATTTCTGCTTTGTAGCACAAGGCCAAAAAAAAAAAAAAAAAAGGACAGGACTGTAAATGACTGCTTGAGGGCATGAAGGGTGATGGGAACTGGCCCTCGTTGTAGCACTATCTCCTCCATTCCTGTGTTTTCTGTAACTCTATGCAAAACATAGGTCTGCTGTAAGTGAGAAACAAAGAGGTTAGCTTGAACCTGAGAGCTTTGCCTGGACAAAAGTTTGTAAAAAGAGTTTTTAAATCTTGCACCCCTACCACAACCCAAAAACCAGGGCAGAGGTGTTAAGCATCACCATCAAGAGTGGTCAACTGGCCAACCTCAACTTGGAAATGAAATGCTGTGGAGATTTCAAAGCCAGTGATCCTTTTTGAGTGCAAAAGTACCTTTTAGGGAAAGGCCTTCTGAAAACCTATTGAAAAAAGATAAATGTATATTGATGATACAGACTGCATATTAACTCCATGGTATGTAGACTTGAATTTATTCTCAAAGCATGAACCTTCTCAGAACATCAGTGCCAGGGATTGCTGAGTAGAAAAGGAAATAGGGATAGTCCCATTTCTCTGCTGGCTGCTGTAACCTGTCACAGCCATTTAATGGCACAGAGAGTGAGTAAAGTAATTTCAATTGTGGAGCTGTGAAAAACATCACATCTATAGGAAAAACAAATACATAGAAAGTACACAGTTTATGCATTTTATTACATTTTCAAAAGGCATAGAAAAAGGTAATAGCACCCATTTTGCATATAGATATGGGTATAGATTTAGATTTTTTTTCTTTACTTTTGGACCTACTTGTTTCTAGTGGGCAATAGGATCCACAGAATTTTGTGCAACAATTTGTGCATGGGGGTTTCTAGTTTCTGTAAAACACCTATAAATTTCAGCAAAGGAAGTACAGGTATTCCTATATATCATGGCACTTCTTGAAAGCACGTACTGTACTACTTCTGAACAAAGAGGACTTGTTGAAAAGCCACTCTTACAATAAATAGGGAGCCCTAAGAAAATTATGCACTTACATTTATGCTTTGTGATCCCCAAATTTTTGGGGCTGGGATGCAGCAGTCCCTTCAGGCAAGGAAAGCCTCATGATCAAGGCTTTTGCCTTGGGGAAGATTAGGGCACAGGTCTACAGTTGGTTCCTGCAGCTCAATAAGGAATGTTTACTGATGGAGTGCGGTGTTGCCATTATCTTTCTAGACCCAACACTGAGGCAAAATAAGTATTTCTGATTTTTACTGATTTCATTGTGTGAGAAGCACAAGGAAGGGATGATGGAAGACACAAGTGGGAAAGGAGCTAATTAACTGCTGAAATAACAAGATCTGCACATCAGATGTTTTGAGCCCCAAAAAAAGATTTAATTGACTTGTCAGCATCACCCAACAAAGAAATGGATCTTTCCTGGGATCCATAAAAATCCCACTGCATACTTGCTTTAATTCAACAGACTCAGTATAGTAGGAGCATAGAAAAGCTAATTATGAAATCCAACAGAGTAAGTGAGGTTGGTGGGGTGGTTTTGTTCTGCTGTGAACAGCAATCTCACAACAATCAGGAGCTGAAATTCCTAAGCCGTGTCTCCAATGCATCAGGCAGGGCAGTGCTGTGTGCTGGCCAGCACAGCTGTACAGTTAATGTGCTGTTCTCTCCTGCTGGAGACTGAAGATCTCAGTCCAGGTAGGTCACACACCAGTAACCACAGCAGAGCTGCATCCTCTGTGCCGCTCGGGTTCATTTCGGTCACAATCACGACTGATATTCTATCATGCCCTCATGCCTCATGCCTTGTTAAACTCGAATTGCTTTCTACACACCCATGTTCACACTTCAAAATGGGTTCAGCTGCGCCAACCAGGTTTTCAGGCAGATTTTTATCAGCTTCACAAAACCACCACTCCATGAGAGAAGGCAGAGTGTTGTGAAAATGGTTGGTATTGCAGTTGAAATGAAAAGTGCTGAGGGACATCTGCAGAGGAGGGAGCTTGACTGAAAAAGCACAAGGTGAAAAACTGCTTCAGGAGGGAGAATTTACACTGTTAAATCTGTGTAAAGAGTTCCAAGCCTTAATGAGTTTTAATTCATGTTACCATTTCCAAGATGTTAACTCCCTTTGCCACAAGCATAATTTATTTTCTCATCACCCATCCAGATGTGCTCCCTTCCCAGACACAGAGGGGTGAATGAAAAATAGTCACTGTCTGAGGAAAACCCTAACCTTGCCATGCCAGAGCCTTCAGGAGCTCAGTTCAGTGCTCACAACAGTGAGATGGAAATGTGGTCCAGTAAACTCTGTTTGGTATTTCTTTTTAATTTTTTAGCAAGTATACCTCATGGTATCTCAGATGAAAAAAGCTTGAACAGTATCTTTCTTGGTATTTATGCCAGTTTTCAAGCTTTCTTAAAGGGTTTAGGCAAATAATGTGTATTACCAGCAGACAGTTGCAAGGAATAGCTCCAGGTTACATGGCTCAGTAAAACAGTTTTGGTTTACTCTGGGTTTGGGTTTGGGTTTTTTTATTTATTAGAAACTAAAAAGGTTTTGGTTGACTTTTATTTTAGCCCATCTACACTACATCTGCAACTTTTACCACTGGGAGGGTAACAGTCTACTGTCAACTCATAGGCAGGATTTAGGGTTATATTGTACCACATGAGCTCCAGCAACAAGGAGAAATCCTGTCCTGTGGCATCAAGGGACAATGTAACACTTTGTGATGAGTGTGATGTAAGTGCTGAGGTAAAGGGTTTCTATTGTAGCTCCTAACCAAGGGTTGACAGAACTTTAATAAAGTCACACCCATTGCTGTCACTACTCATAATGGACCATCACCTTTTCCACTCCAAATTCCTACTGTCAGCTGTTTGAAACTCAGCTTTAAAATGAGCCTAATCTAATGGTGCAGAGCTCTGGTGGTGGAGCAGTGTGTTTTAAAAAACCGGGAATTTTTTTTGGCTGAGTCATGTTTTCCCCCATCATTACTCACTCCTGCATCTAAGAAATAACTATTGTTTATGCCTGTAATTTGCTATATTTCAACCAGCTACAAGAATAGGCAGCAACCATAAGGCATTGCCTTCCAAAGGCTCTGGGATAGTCCCTGTGAAATTAGCTGGCTGGCAGCAAGTAATTCCTAGCTGTGAAAGGTATTAAAAATAAAAATACCCTGTTGGCTGTAGAGATAAAGAACCCAGGGACCCAACAGCCACGGAGGCTGGCTGCCTCTTGAGCAGGGTTCATGGGACTATCTAAAGAAGCTTGCCATTTCCTGTATAATATTCATTATTCAGAGAGAAGGATTCAGCCTGCAGGGTTGTTTAATCCAGCACTTTTTCTGAAGAGCTAAATATGCTTTACAAAAATTCATGATTGTGATATCATGTGCTAAGCTTCATTATCATGAAGAAGTAGAAGTGAACTGCCTCAGATAATTAAGATTTTAAATCACTTATTGTAAACGGCTTAAGGAAACTTTCAGACCTCCTGACTCCCAGCACTATGTAATGTCTACACAACCACAGATGCCAACACAGACAGCCAGGCAATGAGAGCTGGAGTGCAAAAATAGCCAGAAATCCCCAAGTTTGATTTGTAGCTGTGTAGCTGTGACACTGATGTGCTGTATTGACCATAGGTGAGTTGGTCACTCATCATCTCTGTTATCCTGTTGCTTAAAATAAGGGTAGTGATGCTCCTCTGCCTTTGTAAAATGCTTTTTTTAGATCAATGGATCAATATCTCTGTATCACTCTAGGAATTATTACCATCCATAATGATGATAAAAAAAATCCTCTTATCCTTATCACAGGAGCACCACATAGCAAATTATTCTGCTGTATTGCTAAGTGCAGATTTATATATCAGATACCAGAAAGAAGTCAACTGGGTTAATAGCATGCACTGAAAAAACCTGCTAATAACATGTAGAGAGAGTTGGATATACCATGAAAATTGTGAGAAAGCTCAAAATGCATTTTTCTGCATCTTCTAGGCTCCTAATTGTATGATTTTTTAACAAAACATCACCAGGCACATGGGACAAGTGAACAGTTCTGCAGACATTGATTACAGGGATTGTTTTTTTCATTATTTCTTTACTCTAAGAGCAGGTTAGAAACGGAATAGCGAGATACACCATGGTGAGGCAATTTAATTTCTTGAAAATCCATTGAGAACTTTCAGATTCAAGGGTTTTCTTGATGAATTAGTAAAAGAAAATTAGTATTTGCATCACAATTAATTGCAGGGAAGGATAGGTGAGGGACTTTTATGCTGGGGTTTTCTTTCCTCTGGATATTTACTGCTCCTTTCTGAGCTAAAGTAATACCAAGTGCCAGGCTGTGGGAGCACCCTAGATTAGTGTTGCCTTCTGAATTGTGTATCAGTAAGTGATGGGAAGCAAGGACATGGAAATGCTGTGTTTTCGATAGCTCTTCAAAAGCACCTCTGTGCCTTATGCCTTTTGCTGCAGTGTGGTAACATTTTCATTTTTTCCAATCATTATGGCACATTTAATTTTGTTTTCCCTTGCTGAAACTCTTTTGCAGCTGGGAGGGAAGCAACACATCCAACTGACCAATGTCTCTGCTGGCCTTTGGCCAGTAGCTACATCTCAGATTTCCATTACTGCAGTTTTGCAGCAATCCCTCCCAAGAGGCAATCCTGAAATGAAATAATTTTCAAG